AAATACAGAATAAAACCTATTGCAAGCACACCAGATAACATTTGTACACTCAACTATCATCTAGGACGTAAGTATATTTTATTTCCAACATTCTTAGACTAGTGATAACAGTAAATTTGAAAGTAAAGAGTGACTACAAACAAGAAAAAAACCAAAGTAGTTTTACAAGAGCGTCGCTTAGTAATAATCAGGATGTGCAGTGGATTGTCTTCATTAAAGAAGCTTTTACATATATTATAGTCTTACTGCTAACCATGTTAAACACATTAACTTTTTTATATTTGCATTACACCGAGAGTATCAGTGATGTAAGGCACAATTTTCAATTTTTATGAAGATAATATAGCAAGGAATTCAAGAAATTATAATAGAATTCGCTCAATAGTATAGACACACAAAAAGAACCTATTCGAATCTTAATGTATTGAATCAGAATCTAAGATTTGTACATGAAAACAATAAGTCCTTATTTACAGCATAGAGTAAGTGTCCGAATAACCTCTTGAAAGCCAGCTCGAGTAAAAAACAACCCTCATGAAGTAATCGTTAGATCAGATGAAATCGAATCGATTTCGAGTTTTCATCACTTCAGCTATGTTTTTTTTGCATAGAACACCAGCTTATATACGAGAAAAGGAACCTGGAAGGAGAAAGAAATAAGAAGAGAGAAAACAGTGAATATAAGAAAGAAAGAGCAGGCAGTTATTATCTTTCATGAGGTTCTACCATTGGCATATTTAGAGCATGATCAAAATTGATAATTCGATTGTCGTGCAACAAAAGAAAAAATTATAATCCGTTATAACTTAGATTTTGTTTCACAATAGTAATAGTGAAAATTCTCATTTAACTAACTTCAGCACGATTTTGATTGATTTTATATACTGTTGCACTGGTTTATTAACGATAAGGTGAAACAAAACGAAATAGAGTCTTTTCTGATATAAAAAAAGACGAAAAACATCGATTAAAATCAGATTTTTTTTTCTGTTTTTCTTTTACACAGGAATTCTGTGTCCAAAATCTATGCTACTTGCTAATATATTTCAAACTTTCTAATCATGTCAGTCCGATCTGTCTAATCTTTTTTCTCAAACAGTCATAATTGAGGACTACTCTAAGGTCTAGTGTGTACTTGAATCCCGTTCCAAATCTGTCATTGACGAGCATGAGAACATATATGTTATCTAGTCCTGTTCAAGTGAAAGATCTGCGTAGGACTACTTTAGTGTCGGTGATATATCAAATTATTATCAAAAATGCAGACTAGTTCTAAAGAAAGCTTTTTCGAGGCGAAGGATTGTATGATCGAAAACGCACCTTCTATATCTCAGTGAACATTTGTAGGCATTATTTTAATTGAATTTTATTCAGATATATTTTAACATTTTTATATGGATAAAAAAAAATTTTGTATTCTAATACGAATTTATGTGTATACGCTCAAACAAGACAATTTTTTTCATTAAAAAATTATTCTCGTCAAGTTTTAGTAAAAATTAATGTATGCGAACAAATACGATGTTCAAAATAAATGAATAATTTTTTTAATTAAAGAGAAAATAAAGTATGTAAGCATCATGATTTTACTTTATTTTAAATTAAGTTAATCCATTTTACAGTTAGAACTAGGAAAGATTTGTGCATTCTTAACCCTTTCGAATCGATGAATCCCACTGATGGGGTGGGTGTGAATGTGGGGTGTGCGTGTGAGTGGTATGTGTGGGTGTAGATGGATGTTGGTGTTGACTGCTCCTAGTCCACACCCATACCCTCTCGCACACACACGACCCACCCACATCCACAACCACACCCACACTCTCCAGACTAGTCCAGAGTCTTCAAACAGTCTCTTTTGTTTGGACTTAATTATCCGGACAACTCGTTGAGACCTGTTCGTATCGAGACTAGAACGATGTATCTAACGAGAGTTGCCTATTTATGTCCTTTAAATTTTTAGATTGTAATAACAATTAAGAATAATTTTGTTAGAAAAATTAATTTTAGTATTTTTCTATGAGAATATTATATTATTTTAATATAAAATCTAATGATTGGAAGTTAAAAATAGATTTTAACTGCAGGATTATAGTTTGTTTTCAACTATAAATTGGAAGTATTTTAAATTAAGATGAACATAAATCATGATATGAAAAACAAGATTTTTTTTTGAAAATAAATATTATTTTTCTTGTGTTTTGAAATGTTAATTGTTTTTCAAATAGAAAATAATATTTCCCAAATGAAGATGGTCAAAAAAAAATTATTTTGAAGGAAATTAAAAAAATTCTGAATTAATTTTGTTTAGCCATATTTAATTAATTTTCGATTTTATAATCAGTATTTTTTATTAATATTAAAACTTGAGAAAGCGCTGAGTCAAACTGTATTAATTAGCATCTTAGAATGTGTATTGACATGTAAAGGTTAATCACTTGATCATATGGTTCAATCGGATAAACGATGGGTAAGTAAAATGTGGGTGTGGGTGTGAATTTTCTGGTTATCAACACCCACATCCACCTCACAATGTATTTGCATATGTGGTTTCTAAAAAAGCTGGACAGTTGCATTTTGACGTTTTCCGAGCTGAACTATATTCCATTTCCAAACGCCATATATCCAATGATTTTTTAAATCGATTAAAAGTTGTCAATTCTTTATTTATATATCTATTTAAATCGACTTGTGTAATCCATTGTAAATCACGAAGGGTGACGGTGGGTGTGGGCTGTTCTTTCTCAATCACTCACACCCACACTCACATCCACACCACACCCATGGTATATTTGATGAAACTGACTAATACATATGAACCATCTATTCAAGAAATTTACACATCAAGCATTTCTTATTAGTAATAATGACGTAACTATGTTTCACCAATATCTGATATACAAGTATGTACTTAATTTGTGATTAATTACACACAATTAAATATATTCGAAATATCATGTGATTAATCCACCGAATGCAATAAAACAAATCGACATCAAAATAAATAAAATAATGAATCATTTTTTGAAAAAAAATGACGTCATTGCCAACTCACGGCTACTTTATGAAATGAGTCAACACTATGAATCTTTTTTATAGTATTAATACGCCTGTAAAGTTCAGTTACTTTTTGTGAAACACGAGCGAAAAGAAACATTGAGGTAAGTAGAGTAGAAATTATGACTTATTTCCTTTCCCCTACAAACTGTCACAGATATCCTAGCCACCCATTACTGATGTCCTGCACGATTGGAACTTTTGGCACCCGAATCTGGACCGGTACTTTTATCTTTATGTCCGGTTCCGATCTAGATCGAACCTGCTCGACATCCGGCAAATAATTTCACTCATAGTGCAGGTTTCAAACTTTTACCTAATATGAAAAACTATACTGTTTAGTTTCTTCCATAAACAGTAATAAAAAAAGAGATCATCTTATATTCCATAAAAAGGTAAGTGAAGCAAGTAATTCAGAATTCACTTGATACCTTTCTGCTTCTAAATTTCGATCAATTTCACTAAGTGTATGTTTGCTTGTTGTTGACGAAACTGATATGTAACGTAGTGTTAGTGTCAGACGTCATAGTTGTGGACACGTACTGGAATGCTTTTTTCCATACGGTAATGCATGTTCATTTTTTTGATAGTTCATTTTCCTTCATGTATTCAATCACTTTGTAATATAGTTCATCATCAAATGTATATGAATTTCCATTTCAAGCAAATTACTTCAGTAAAATGATATCGCTCTCCACTTTTGTGGTCTATTCTCAAGTAAAACAAATTGCTCAATCATGATCGAACTAGTTTTGATTCCTATACTTTTATATCAATAGCAATTTTAAAAAGTAAAACTATTTTGACACGTGGAGATCTCATTAATTGCCGGATCGGGTGCCAGGTATGATCTCAAAGTCAGACCGGACCAGGCAATTTTTTTCATACCTAGCACCCGATCTGATCCTACAAGTTTGCACCCAAACCCATGCTCGAAGCCGGATTAGGTTCTGGATATCCGATCTGGTGGCAAGACACTACCAATCACAGATCGTATATCAATAGTGGCCTGTTACAGTATGCTAATTACATCCTTATTGCATTTCTGGAGGGTCAAGTAGAAGCTGGATGAAGAAATGTACCCAAATATACAAAGTATTACGTGTATCTATTCATTTGTGAATGAAAAAAGCAAACTAGTTTGATTCCTTTTGGTAGTTTTCACAATTTTTATTGATTTCTATTTTGATCTACAAAAAAAAACAACAGAAAAAACACAGATAGAAAAGCAATTGATTTTATTTCTAACTAACATTGAACCTCCGTTTTATATTAATTAAATTAGAATAATGGTAGGCATCGATGCAAAAAATAAACATATTCTTGATTCAAAGTACATTTGTCCCGTTTGTACATTGATACTACGAGATCCTGTACAATTAAGTAAATGTGGCCATCGGCAATGTCAATCGTGTTTCGATGCTCAACATGAGTAAGTTTCGTTATCAATTTGTAATATTATTCTTCATTATTCTTTTTCAAGAATGACAATTAAATGTCGACAATGTCAATCTGAAACATCGCGAATCGACGTAACATATCTCTTCATTATTAAAGAGAAAATATATTTGATTTATGTAGATCCTGCTTGATCGAGGCTTTAAAAATGATATGACATTACTATTCATTGATTGCTCTTTTTGCCAATGGACCGGTATATTAAATAATTATCAAGTAATTTATTTTATATTAATTTTATTTCTGAGTCTACTATCCTTTTCTTTCAAAAGAAACATCTTGATGAATTTCATCCAAATCTGAAATGCGAATATTGTGGCAAAGAATTCAACTCGGTTAACAAATGCAATGAACATAAAAGCTCTGAATGTCAGAAACTGACTGTCGTTTGTATATTGAAAAACTTTGGTTGTAATGAACAAGTATGAATGTTTTCTAGATGAAATCGAAATCAAAAAATTCTTGTACTAGAGATTATCCGTGCCGAAATGAAAGATCATTATTTAACTGAACAGCATCAACACGCTATAACTAAAGTTGTTCATCAAATATTATCGCAATTAAACGATAGACAAATAGATAGTGATCTTTCTCGAATAACAAGTGCAGGAGATTGTAATCCAGCCACAGCTCAATTACAAGAGCTTTATGAAATGCTCAACATCTTGTCTGGTGGTATTGAAACTTTGAACAGTGATCAACAACGTCTAAGCAATGAATCACTTCAAACTCAAATTACACTTCCAACATTGACAGAAGAACTATCGAGAGTTAAATTATCGATTGAAGAATCAAATGATTTTTTGGAGGGAGTGAAACATAATCAAGATATTCTCAAACAAGATTTAGCATCACTTCAAGAAAAAATCAGTGATTTGCAACATGTTTCACATGATGGAACATTTGTATGGAGAATTACAAACTTTAAAGAGAAAATGAGTAAGTTGAACAATATACTTTTATGGTGAGTCTTAAAAATAAAATATTCTTTCAAACAGATAATTCAATAATAAGATGTTATTTGGTTCCTATAGCATCGATAAATAATACATATATTATCAAACATTATATTCAACCTAATATATAATTATTCTCGAATCAATGTACAATCTATTGATTGATTCATTGATGAAATGAACTGTAAATGATATTGATCCCTTGAATTTCTTTACACTTTCTTTTGTCCTTGTTCATAAATTATTTTTTGTTTAATTTCTAGTTGATGTGCAGTCTGAAAGGCAAACATCTATTTATTCACCTCCATTTTATTCATCTCAAACTGGCTATAAAATGAGAGCTCGTCTGTATTTAAATGGTGATGGAAACGCTCGTCATACACACATGTCACTCTTTTTTGTGCTTATGCGAAGTTTCAACGATCCGATTCTCAAATTTCCGTTCAACCACAAAGTCACATTTTGTTTGTACGATCAAACGCCTGCACAGCGACATATTCTTGATTCATTTCGACCAGACATTCGATCGAATAGTTTTCAGCGACCTCGATCGGATATGAATATAGCCAGTGGTATACCAAAATTTTTGCCATTGGAAATGATTCAACAGGAAGGAAATCCTTATGTACAAGACGATACAATGTTCATCAAAATTATGGTTGATTTTGGAGACACACCAAAAACACTATTACCTTACGCTGTGAGTCTCAATCCGGGTCTACCAACTCATATTCAACAAGCGCTGATCAAGCAAGAAGCAGAAAGAAGATCTCAACAGCAGCCTGGCGAACAATCGCAGATACCTCCAGAATAGTCTACTGCTCAATTTACACAAAAGATTCACTCTGTTAATGAAGAATAACGAGTGATCCATAATAAATGAGTATTTTGTATTTTTGCAAATAACTTCGTCAATTTTGATCCAATTTAGTTAAACTTTTTTTAACAGAATCCCTATTCGATGCTCTACAAAACTCTATATAAACAGTTTTTCTAGAGCAAAGTATGACAAATAAATAGATCAGAAACTCAAAACGTCTAAAAGTATCAAATTTCAAAGGCACATTATTGGAGTTTCCTATGGCGTTTTGGACAGCTGAAACGGTGTCCTCTTTCACAGTTTAATAAAGTTCTTGTATTTTGAGGTTTATTCTTTGATTAGCAATTGCCAGGATAAAACTAAGCTTTTCTCAAAGCACCATTTAATGACACTATTGATATTCTTCTGTGACATGAGGCTACATACAATATGTTAGTACTTCAGATGCATATTGACACGATAGTAAAGACTCTAGATTTTGAAATAAAAGAGAAATTTTTGAAAAACAGATCACGTTTCGTGGAACTACGAGCATTTTCGTTGAACGGGCAAAAACTTGATTTAAAATCAATCTTTTTCGAAAACCTCAAAAAGTGAAATACTACCTTGTGCTCTAAGGCTTTATTTAAAAAATTGTTTAATACGTGATTCTGATAGATAATTCTATGCTCTTCATAATCGATGAGTCAACTTTTCTTTTATATATTGCTGTGGAAGTTTTTAAATTCGAACAAATAATTTTTGCTTTCGAAAGTTGATACTTTTAGGCGTCTTAAGTTCTAGACCTATCTGTTTGTCATACTTTGTTCTAGAAAACCCATTTGTGTAGAGTTTTGTAGAGCATAGAACGGCAATTCTAATAAAAACAAAGTTTAGTTCGATCGGATCAAAACTGACAAAGTTATTGAAGAAATAAATAAAAAATACCTATTTATTCTGGCTCATCAATTGTGTATTGTTTTAAATTTCTACCGTTTTTTACAATCTAATATATAAACCAGATATTACTTAAAGCCTTTCTTGTTTGTTTGATAATCATGCAATGTTTATTGATCTTTTTTATTTGGCAAAATTATTTCTTTGTCAGAAGAAACTTTAATAAAATTGATTATTTTTTTGTTTTACAAGAACTACTATTCTGATAGTATTTTGAAAATTTTTGAAACGTTAATGTGCGTATATTATTTGTTCGATTTTAATATAGGATAAAAATCGGCTTCGAAACGATATTCATATCGTTCTTTTCGAAAGTAATTCAACGTCTGTTTAGATTTTTGAAAAATTTCTTTCCATTGTAAATATTCAATGACATTTCATATTGACTGACATGACATCAAATATTGAAATAGCACTTAGTTGAATAATAATGTTGAGTCAGAGTGGGTAGATGATTAAATACTGACAAAAACTGATCTGCGAAAAGAAAAAGTGATAGAAGAAACGCTAAAATGTGATCGAACAAATTTTTATCAATTAACAATGTATTGAGGACATCTAATAATTGTATATCTCTGTATAGTAATTAAAATGTTTCGCTCCGAGGATCTAATGATAAATGATTACGGTCGAAAAACAAAGAATAATATTACTGTAGAAAATTAAAAGTCGAAAGATGCTATGTGATAGCAGTAAAAGAAAAGATGTTGTTTTTATATTATTGATAAAAACCTTCTTGTTTAATGTTAAAAATATGATAATCATATTTTAGAGGGAAAACTGTTTTTGGCAAAGAAAAAAAATGGCACAATGGTGGAATAACAAACATGGCTGAATAAATCTACTACAAGTAGTATTAAATGGATACATTCTTATTTCGTTGTTTTGTGCAACTATATATGATAAAACAGTAAGAAGATCGGGGTGCACATGTAGGTATAGTTTGTAGATGTCCTCAAGTGTGATTATGAGTGATTTACATTCACCCACACCTATAATTTTAAACAGTAGAATAGTTTTTTTTCGACATTTTATTTTCGACGTTATTCATGTGATGCATCATCACCAGGTTTCCATTATTCTTACTTCATGCTATTATGAGTAATAAACTTGCCATAGGCCTTTCCTAAATAATTAAGACAAGTGTTGATGGACATGTGGGTGTGAATGAGTGACTCTTTCCTACATTCATACACTCCATCGAACAATGTAGGTGTAAGATATGGATGTGTGAAAACGTGACTATGAGTGGCATACTTTTACTCATATCCACACCTATAAGTTTAAATAGTAGAGTGTTTAATCCGATATTTTATTCTCGATATTATTCATTTGATTATTCATCAGCATATGTCCTGCATTCTTGCTTTATGTTACAATGAGTAATACACCTATCATAGCCTTTTCATGAAGCAATAAAAATAAGCGGTGGGTGTGGATGTCAAAAGAGAGAATTATATGAGCAGCCACGCCCACACCCTTTTACTCACTGAATAAGTTCTAGTCTACACCGTTGACTATCACACACTAAGCAAGTTCTTTTGTCGTCTGTAACAGTCTGTTCTTTATGCAGTCCTTCTGTTGCCCTTTTTTCTCTTAATATAATCTACAGAAATGAGCTTCCTAAAAGAATATTGTTTATAGATAAACATTGCTTCACAACAGTCGTATGAAATTTTTATAGCAGAAAAGCACGAAAACTCGTTGTTTTTGTTCCTACACCTTTTTTTTAAATCAGTATCATGATATTTATAGAATAAAAGGTTTAATTCTAATTGAAAGAATCCTAACACTGTTTCGCTTATTTTTATTACCAAGGACTATTGGATCCGATCGATTCTGATTCTCATATTCTATCGTTTATAAAAAAAAAAGAATCTGATCAATTTCTTTCAGATTTAATAACCGAAGATGCATGGAATATATTCGAAAGTATGTGATCCCAGTCTCTGAATCTGATCCGGACCCTTCATTAGAGAGATCTAATTTTTGAACAAATTCGGTCTTTGTGAATGCTGTGGTGATCATAATATGTGTAGATATTCTATTCATCCTTTTGATGGTATTATTGTATGTTGAGCATTGTGCGAAAGAGACTATATTGCCAAGAATATGTCAGCAATTTGATTACTTAGCACCTATAGTCACAAGAGCAATACTTCCTTTTTTTTAAATTTAATCATCATATTCGTTTCAGTTGACATCGAGCAACGACTATGAATATATGGATAGATCAAGTATTAATCCATACCTCATATGCAAACATTGCCGGAATCCTCTCGTTAATCTCACCTTCACACAATGCAGCCACACTTTTTGTCGTTTATGCATTGAACAATACCTCAACAGGGTGTGTGTGTGTTGGTTTTCTTTTCGGGCAGACCTACATCCACATCCACCCACACTCAGACCTCTCTGATTTACAGAGATCCTAAAAAGAGAGTATGAATTGGACGAGACCGAGATAGCAAAAGCATTTGCTTGGCTAAAATCTCAGCACCGATTAGTCTAATTGGAGAATAGCTGAATGGTGTGAATATCTGATTCGAAGAAAATACAATTTCAAGCAGTCACTCTACATCGTTAGTATAATGATTTAGAAATATTCGAAGCATACAATTGTATACGTGATTCCAAACAAATATGCATGAACATACACATAAAGTTAGTCATTTTTTCAGCAAGACCCTCTTGGCACTTCACGGAAGAATCATAATTTTCGTAAAACATTCTTTCAACTACAAAAAAAATTCAAGTCAAAATTTTGAAAAACCGATTACAGATTCGAATTTTCCGACTTCGATTACCTGTAGTCAAACTTTATAAATTACATCAATAAATGCGGACACACAAATACATAAATAAACGCATTTTATCTCGTACGATCCTTCCTTCAGTCGAGCGACAAATGATTCATATTCATTTTTTCATCATCATATTTTTCGTTTTCGTTTATTTTTTGTACTATCGTTATAAGATTGACAATGGTGGTTTAAAGACCAAAAAGTCCCTTGGGAATAAGTTTTTCGTTTATCTTTACTATTTGATTTAACTTTATCAACAAATTTGTTTTTTGAATGATATGTGAACACGCCAAGTTTTTATTTATTCGAATGAACTTCCATACTACACTGCAAAACTATCACCTTCGATCGAAATATAAAAATTCAGCTTTGTTGATAAAGTGCAAGTAATTCAAAAATCACCTAATTTATTTTTCTTTGATATTCTCATATGGTTAGATAGAGCTCACCGAGCTCTATAAGAATCTGTATATTGAAAAATTTTTAAAGCTTTTCTTTTATGCAAAACTTACAGAAACCTACTAGATGAAGGGTGAACGGTGTCTGCGAGAAATACATTAGTGTTCAATATTATTGGGAAAACACCTTTTTAGTAATCTTTTTTTCTTCTAAAATTAGCTAATACAAATATCTGAACGATTTAAAAATTAAAATAATTCGGAAAGTCGAAATAATTTTAAGAAAAAAACACTGCGTAATGTTTTTTGTTTTGGAAAAAGAAATAAGGCAAAATTTTTGTATTTCGGTTAAAGATGACAGCTTTGAACGGTATTTCTGAACTTTGTTCATAGAAATTAAAACTTGTCGATGAAGTTAAATCAAATAGTAAAGATAGACGAAAAACTTATCCCCAAGAGACTTTTGGAACATCTTATACATATATTAAATAAAAAAAATATCTACATTTACAAACTCTATTACATGATATATATTGTCGTTATTAAGCATTTAACCCTGTTGATGTTCTAATATGATTAGACTAGAGGTTGTTTGAAGAATAAAATGTTCGAAGTAATATAAAGAGGAGTGTGTACAATTGTAATAACTCGATGTCAATTGCATATGAGAATGTCTATCGAATTTTTTTTCCTTTGAGGAGTGTTATTGATATATATTAATGCATGATTATAACACATGATGCGTCTCAAAACAAAAATAATATGATTTATTTCTACTATCTTTTGCTTTTCGATATCTTTTGACGTATACATAGTTTTGATGTTATTTCACATGTAATATTCATTATAAGCAAAT